CCCCAATATTCTGCATGCTCTGTTGATGCACAGGCACTTACACCAAAGTAAAAAAAAACTGAAATGAAGGGTCTTCGGAATCCCCCCATCTGTCTCTTTCCACTTCCACCTCAATCTTTATTTAATTCTCTCCCTCTCTCGCCCTCTGTCGTTATCAGGAGAATGTACATAAATCATACCTTGGAATAAATGGAACGTCCTTTTGTCCTCCATTCCCCACTTCAGAATATTGTAACAGCCAACAAGTTGAGGTTGGAAAGTATCCCCTGATTCAACAAAAATATCGGTATCGTCAAAGAAACCGATAAATCGCGTTATCTTCATTCATTTAAAGTTGCATACAAATCCTGACTGACTGTATCACTCACCTCCTCCCTTTTTTGGCTTCACCTTCTGTCACACTGCCTGAGTCTCAATTTGACTTACAAGTCAATATTTTTATTTCGATTGGAATATTTTATCCGAAAGCACCACTGGAGGGGCTACCTAGGGAGGGTGGGGGGGGGGGGGGAATGAAAAAAACAACCAATAAAAACCGGAATGAAATTAACATAATCAAATTCCTCAGGACGCTCCCAAAGAGGAATACGAGGTGTTTGAATTTTGGGGTGGGATGGGATTTCTTTGATAACGTACGGAATCTAATTCGCTATGGTATGTTTGATTGTGCAATTTCGAGGGCTATCCAATACGTTTTCGTACACCATTTTAAAAAGAATACTGATAGTGGGATGTAAATAAAAATTGATGCATATAATGCCAGACCTGTTCTACTTCTCAAAATATTCCCCGTTCACATCGATGCACTTCTGTCACCTGGAGGGGAGGGAGTGTATGCCCCCACGATAGAAGCATTGTTGACGATCCGACAAGGTTGCAGCATTCTGAAAGTATTCACTTCCAGAAAATGCACTCCTCGAAGATGTGTCTCCATGGGTTCCAAGAAATTAAAATCCGACGGTGTGAGGTCTAGGCTATATGGTGGGAGGGTCATTATTTTCCATTGAAAACGGGCAATAAACCATGCAACCTTGAATGCCGTCTGTGGGAGAGCGTTGTCATGCAACAGGTATATATCAGTGTTCATTTCAGGTCGCTTTCTTCTCAATTCCTTCTGGAGTTTGTGTAGATTCCGGCGATATCGTTCGACACTGATCGTTTTGTTTGAGGGACAACAATTTTATTTTTCTCGCTACCGTCTCTTCCGTCTGCGAGGAGAACTTGAGTTTCTCATCGATAGCGATCCCTAAATCTAACGGCTGCTAATGTTCGGGCTGCTGGTTGCGATGGTATTCTCCTAGGAACCGAACCTCAAAATTTGGCATCCTATTCGGATCTTCTCCAGTCTTGACCGTGATTTCGCCCCAATATAAGTTCGGACCACCATAAATTGTAAGGGTCAAGGCTCACGTCAGTTCACCCTCGAAGGCCCAAGTCTTTGTTGCCCATTTTTGCGAATCATAAACTTTTCTGGCAAAACAGACTCGTGGTTGGTGGGGTCGCTTCATGCACTCTTAGAAAGAAGGGAACGATTTGTCTCAAGAAAGGGAGTAAAATCATTAATTCAAGTTTCATCCCCATTTCACTCTGTAAAAGGAGCGAATTTTCGCTCTAAATAGTAAAATTGCTCTCCTCCTCCGTGGTTAAAAACTCTCTCCTCGGAAGGATATGGAGATGTCACGCAAATACGAAAATTCTTAGATACGTGTCTGTTTCGCTCTTGTTCTTGTTTTTGGACCTCAAGGACTTGAGGTCCAAATTAAAATGTATTCAACTTTTAGTTTTCATTTTTAAGAGTGATTTTCATTTTATAACATATGATGCAGTAAATCAGTGTCTAGTATGGTTTTTAAACCCAAATAAAGATAGTTTGGGCTATTGGAAACGGTGGGCTGACGAAATTGATTATCCAATTATTCATGTTTTCCTAATTGAGTTCTCCTACTAGGCAAGGGTTAACACTCTGGTCGGAGAAAATCTTACTCATCAAACAACGAAACCCGCTCCTTCCCAATTATGGAAAGGGAATGAAGCAGGAACTGGCGATTTTACTATCTTTTTTGACCAAAATCACTCCCTTTCCAACACTTGGAAGGCAGTCCCCTATCGCGCGTGACGAAAATATCCTCCAAGTTAATAGGCAGGGAGGTGTGGCTGTGGGGAGGATGAATCATGGATGATGGAAAGGGACTGCAGTGTGCACGTGGAAGGTCTTGAGATGTAGCCCGAAAGAGGGACGGGAAGTTCCGCTACACCTAGGCAACGCCCAGTCAAGTTCCCTGATTATAGTCACCACGTGACAGGTCCATAGATAACATTCAGAAAATCAACAACGGTGTATATTATTAAAGAATACGGTAGAATTAGGCCTGAATCTTGGCTAACGTTATGCCAACTGAAACACGTTTCGTTGGCCTAGGCTATCTCCTCCCCAGCAGAACCCCTCTTCCTATTGCAAGTTAGTGCACGACCTCGATTCGGTATGTCAACATGGCCAGAAACACCTATTCGTGCGCACCAGGAACTTTTAACTTTGAAAGGGAAACCGATGGAACCCTGCTGCACATCCTCAATGAAAATTGTTTTAAGTGGTTAAAGTTGTTTCCTGGAAGGGGAGATGGAAAAAGAAGCGTGTGAGAAATACAATCCATGAGGGAGCATTTTCTGAGTAATGAGAGAGTACATTTGAAATAGCTCACCAAGTGCTCACTTTTAACTCCCAAAACGCTCGGAATTTTCTAGGAGTCTAGTGGCCGGACTCGTACTGCCCTTATTTTGGTTTTAGGTGTTATTTTTACTTAAACATCGTGGTTGCTAGTCGAAGTTAAGGCGCGAATGCCTTATCAAGGCGCCGATGTTCCGCATTGTCAAATCTCTGAGATTCCGGTAGTTATTGGAATAAACAAGATTCAGCTCCTTTTCCTAATTTCCACAAAAATGGTACCATAAAAATATCTCGGATCCGAGGCCTACATTTCCGCCAAGCAAGGCGAGATACAACAAGTCCAGGAAGCCGTAAAAGCCATTGAGAGTTAAATTCTTCCGCCAGGAGACAAGGCGGTAAAGTATTCGCGTATCGAGGGGAAGCCGTCCCCTTTCCCGTTACTGCCGGTGTAGCAGACTCTGAAGGGTCGGATGTCTCGTAAGACGACCGTGGCGACCCAGTCTTCGTGCCCCGCACGAAAACGAGCGTTTCTTCTTTGACGGAGCGGTTAAACGAGGTTATTAATGTATCTTTGGTTCCGGGTGGAAGGTCGTGCTCGCGTCCATTCCAGATCCGCAATCCCTGAGCTTAATTTGGGAAATCCCGGAAATATTTCGGGTTCAAGAGGATCTCGATCATGCCCGTCGGACTATTCCTGAAGATGTTTCACAGGCGTTGCTACAAACTGAAAATAACTCATAGCTTGAAAAAAAAATTACGTCAAGAGGCCTTTAGCCTCAGCGTTTGCAATGTGGTCACAATGATAACAAACCCATGTATATCAACAACAAACTACCATTCCTGGCCACGACTTAGAAATTCAATGTGCACGCAGTTGAATCACACGATAATTTTTCTCTCGCGATCGACCTTGTATTGAAGATCCAGCCCACTGCCATTCAGGCACCGGCCAGAACGCACTCCGTCCCTGTCAGGTAGTACTTGTATTCTTCCCCGGAGTCACGCAGAACACGTGTCTCTTCTTGGTCTGTTCGGAGTTGGAAACCTGATTGGAGCGATTCCCAGTCCTTAACCCTTTCGCTGCCCAGCCAGAAAAATCACGTTTTCTGACTGACGGGAAATATGTCCATCATATATGCTACGATATTACTCTGATACTAAGCTGTATTCTTCATATAACATTTTAGAATCAGAATGTATTCCATATATGACCGAAAAACCAATGAGATTTTCACGGACATTTTGAACATGAGACAAGAATGCATTCAAATTGAAGTCAAAGTACAGCCATATTGAAGTCTTTTTCTGTGTTTTCCTGCATCTGTCTGACATTATCTTACGTTGACATTATTGTGCTTTCCTTTTTACGAGAAACTATTTTCATTTGCTGCTGGGAAGCGAGTAAAGTGGACTTCTCGAAAGAACAACAAGCGCCCAAGAGCTGAGAGACGACGCAGAGATGGAAGGCGAAACAGAGCAGGGAGACGCTGTGGGTCCACGTGGAGGTTGCGCGCGACCACCCTCCACGTCGCCAGCTGCTCTCCAGTCTCTCGGGGATGCAATCCCTACAGATCGGAAGGAGCCCTCCATTTCGAGAGCCGGTATCTCTCGTCCATGCTAATGTGACGTTCATGGTGTGGGGAAGTCCCAATCTGAGAAACATCAACGGCTAGCATCGTACATAAGCTAAAACGAACAGAGGAAGACGGGGAACATGCAGCACACAGCACAGCCACGATTCGAAAACCACCTTTTATTTCAACTGCAAGCTCCCGGTCGCTAATATCGAAATAATACAACGGTACAGCACCGCACACGTCTGATTGGTCAGGCATGGATGACGTCTCTTTAGCGGGTGCGAGTCCCCAATTTTTTGAGCGGGCCGCAAGTTCCAAGCCTGCCTATGCTGAGATTGTGGTCCTACGAAGGCGATAAAGTTACGTCGTCCTTGTATCATCACGGTCGACCAACCAGTGAACGTTCAAAGGCAAACATACGCTAATGGAGACGAAGGTGCATAGTAGAGGTGTTAGCGGGTTATGGTAGGCCATGCTTCCGTATTTAATATGGCTGCTCCAACGACTCGCGGTACCTGCTACGTTACTCCGCCAATGCGCTCCTTAGGCCCGCTTTCAACTACAGGTAAAATCTCGTTATAGCGAACCTGGAGGGAGGAAAAAAAATTCGTTACACTGAAAAATTCGTTATATCGAAATTCACTAATTTTGTAATTTTTGATAAAGGAAATAACTGAAAACGCTGGTATTCTTCAAGTCACAGAAATATTGATATTTATTCATAACAATATTTTTCAGCAGAATTAATCCCATATCTACTTCTTGAAATAATTCGTTATTTTTGACTGAACAAAGTTTTTAGTCACTGATGTCAACATTGCATCTTCCACACGTTTCAGCAGATCATAAACTTCATCATTGGCAATGTCTGAGCATGACAAAACATTTTTTACACACTCAAAAATAGCAAAGGCATCAGCAGCACTGGTTTTCTTTGCAGGAACAGTTTCAGTTGCTTCATCATCATCACTTCCACTATTGTCAGCTGCTGGCATAACACTTTGCACAATTTCATCATCAGTTATTTCACTGGTCACAAGCAGTTGGTCATCAGCAGCAATAAAGTCATTGAAACCCAGTTCTGCAGGGATCTCTGACCTCCCAGCAATTGTGGCCCACAGCTCACGAATTGTCGAGTCTTCCCCAGGATCCTCATCACTGTCGTCCACATTGAGAGCCATATCGATAATGCCAGTCTTCTTCCAGCACTTCACAATTGTGTTCTTTGTCACAGATGACCAGGCACTAGCAATCATTTCAATTGCTTCCTTGACATTGACGTCAGGCTCACTTTTTTATAAGCAATGTTGGCAATAATTTTACGCAAAATTGCCTTCCTGTAATTAACTTTCACATTTCGAATGATGCCAAGATCAAGTGGCTGAAGAACAGCAGTGCAGCTTGGTGGCAGGGGCTCGACACGCACATTTTCTAGGCGAGGGAGAACATTGTGGGCCGGGCAATTGCCAATGAGCAGCAAGATTTTCCGATTCTTCTTTTTCATGTCCTTGTCAACCTGCTTTAGCCACTGTCCAAATATTGGCGTGGTCATCCAAACTCGCTTGTTTGCCTGATACTCACATGGAAGAAATGTAACATTTTTGAAACAGCGTGGCTTAGCCGATTTTCCAATGATGAGTGGCCGAAGTTTCTCTGTGCCAGATGCATTGCAGCAGAACAATGCCGTCAGTCTCTGCTTTGATTTCTTGCCACCTCGGCAAGGATCATTTTTGACAGCCAAGGTGCGGTGTGGCAGCAGCTTGAAGAATATGCCAGTCTCATCAGCATTGAAGACGTTGTCAGGGCTGTAGGATGCAATGATTTTCTTCACTTCACTAGCCCGCCACTCTTCACTTTTTCATTGGGAACTGCTGATTCTTCACCACAGATGGCCTTTGCCGCAATTCCAAACCGATCACGAAAACGATTCAGCCAACCGACACTAGCCAAGAAGTTGGTATGGCCAAGTGCAGCCGCCAGCTGCAATGCCTTCTCTTGGATCAAAGGTCCACTAACAGGAATGTTTTTTTATCGTGTTTCTTGAAACCAGGCAAACACTGCTTTGTCCAGATCTTCAAAGGTTGCAGTTCGAATCTTTTTGCGGTGAGGTCCAATGTTCACTTCACACGATTTCTCTTCAATTTTTGACCGATCTTTCAAAAATGTCGAAAGTGTCGAGGGTGTGATGCCAAAGTCTTTTGCCACATCTTTTTTTTTTTGCCAGCATCTACTGCAGCAATAATTTCAAGCTTTTTCTCGAGAGTGAACTGCTGGCGTTTATTTTTCTGCACTTCATCGTCACCCATTTCATGGGCCTAAAATAACAAGGATACCAGGGAAAAATTGATCATCGAAAAGAAACACAAAAAAAGAAGGAATGGTCATCCACATGAAGCAGATCCATTCAGTATGAATTTCTGTTGAGAAACATGTACACAGGCTTTCATGCTTGCCACATCAATCACACAAACGTCCTAAAACTTTGGATTCCAGTACCATATAAGTGTGTGTAAAACTGCTGTGATAAACTGAGTTTTTTTTTGGCAAACATTTTATTCACAAAGATTTTTGCTGAAATTCATTCTGTTGAATACAGCAGGAAAGTACTGACTCACAATTTGCTTTGCGCACACTCTGATGCCCAATTGCGCTGGCTGAGGGCAAGCGCTGAGTGTTTGAAGTTTAAAAGAGTTTTTCTCTGACATCCGGGAAAGAAAAAATGTTCAGTACAGTGTGATACAAAGCAAAACGAAGTGCTCAAAGATCCCAGTCAAAAGACTTTTTCTGTGGAATTTGGGAAAGGAAAAAATTACAGCACAGTTTGGTGAAAAGGCGGAAGTTTAAAAGCTGAGAACAACTCAAGGTCACGTTTCAAAAATTTGAAAGTGAACCATTATTCTTACCTATAGTAAGATTCTTCATTTCTACATTACCTACAGTATTATTCTTCGAAGCAAAAATGAAAATTCTGGAAAAAGTAAGTTCGTTATAGTGATTTTTTTGCGCTTTTTTGATTCGTTATAATGGGAGTTTTTCAGCATGCAGTCTACCTGACTTCAGCTGGGACCGTAAAAAAAATTCGTTACACTGAAAATTTCGTTACAGCGGTATTCGTTACAACGAGATTTTACCTGTACGTATATTGTGACGGATTAGAATGGCATCGAGAAGTTTAACGGATGTTCTAGGTTAGGTGGTGTAGTGGTAGCACACCAGACTGGCAATCAGGAGGCCCGGGTTCAATTCTAGGCCGCCTTTTGGCTTTCTTTTGACTTCTCATGCCTTCCAACTCCTGTTACTCATTCCCCCTCCGTAACATTGTTCTTGCTCGAGTTAAATGGAGAGACCCAGAAAGCTGAAACTTGGCTTGTACGTGCCTATCGAGACGATGAGTACGGGAAAAATATACAATTTAATACCTATGCCCTGTGGGGGCCTGATTTTAGGGGCCGACGTATTCACATAATTTTTTTTGCCCTTGCGTATTGATCTGGTGTGGAAAGATGAAACTTGGTACATAACTACCTATTGGGATGCTGAATGCAGAAAAATTTAGACTTTGGAAGTAAATGCCCAGGGAGCACAGATTTGAAAGGGAGATGTTTTCAAACTGAGACAAGGAGTTAAAGTAAAATGTTAAGTCTCGATACATCCCGTGAAGAATTTTTCGAGGGGGGATGTTTAAAAAAAATTTGTCATGACGAATTGGACAGAAATGGAAGGTGAAACTTGGCACACGCACAAGTGACATAATATTCTTGAGTTGAGGGAGTATTGAGCTTTCATGGTACATCCGCTCCTGGCGTAGCTTTTGGGGGCTTCGGCTTTTCCAAATATATATTTTCACCCGCGAAAAGGGCAAAGGTGTAAGGTTGAAAGTTTGTGGGCATGTAGTTCGGCTTTAATTTCGGTTGGTTGACATTGATTTCGGTTTTTAAAAAATATACTTTTCGGTTAAAACACCTAAAGGCACATATATTGCAAAAGGCGTATTTTCTCCATCCAGCAAAACAGAGGGCGCTATTAAGTTTAAACTTGCCAAAAAAGAACTTCATGGATGGCTGAGTAAAGAAAAAAATCTACCTTTATTATATATAGAGGATCATGAGTCGAATGCGAATATCCCATTTTCATAGCTCATGAGCGTACATGACTTTGTCTGCATTCATCAAAACCAAAGCGAAGTAAGCCGAAGGCTTTCGGAAAGAAAGGTAAGGCATGCAGTGCTTGCGAATGCATGTATCACATTATGGCCTGTCCAATATGCACGGGGAGCCCGTCATTTTATCATTATGTATTTTATTATCACAGATAATTCTATAAAAAGTATGGGGAGCCAACAAGAGCTGCACCCCCCTCGCCACCATAGATGTGGCAAACCCCGAAATTATACAGGGAGGGGGCAAAAAAGTATACCTTTTTAATTCCACTGTCACCTTTTCGCTAATTAAGATAGGTGCCTGCAATTATGTCATGGTTTAGAATGACTGGTTAGAAGGTTCATGCCAGGGCAATGTGAAGGGGATCATGTAGTTGTCAGAGAATCCATCAAAGGAACCAAGTAGGGATTTTGCGAATGGCGCAGTGCAATGATCCAGCTCTTCCTTCCACGCTAAAATTTCGAGAAGCACCGGAAGTAGGCATAAGATTTGTACACATTATTTATTCACTGGGAAATGGCATTTAGTCGTATGCTTAGAGGAAAACTCTCGGGAATGCTACAGGAATATATAATTAACGGTCAGCTATGGAGAATACATTTGGTTCTGACAGGTCAATTCGAGTAAGCAGAAAGAACGAAGACCCGAACCGTGAATATCACGGTACGTGTTTCTCGAACGTGACCTTTAAGGAACATCAGGATCGCGTTCCCACTACTGTCCTGATACTGGTGTATCTGGACATGGCATGAAGGCGCAGCATAGGCCTCGAGGGGGTCTACATCGGGATTTAGATGTCGCTAACGATGTCTTTTTTCTGCCTGAACTCAACAAAACCTTTAGAGCTTGTTTGACCCGTTCGGTTCGGAACGTTCTCCATCCGGAAAAAGAGTCAGCGTCTCCAAAATGCACGCCGTGGTCCTCTCGAGAAGACTTGTACAGAGCATTTTCCATGTTAGTGGGATCCCACTGGAACATGTCAGGTATTTCAGGTACTTCCGGTTACGGTTCTCGCGTGATTGACGAAATGAAAACGAGATGAACAACCGCTTCTGTAAGGAATCTGCAATTAGGCAGGAACTCTGATGAATTATAGAAGCCAACGCTTAACATTTGGAAGCAGGCGAAACTCACATGTTTTAAGAGAGTTTACCCACCCATAAGCACACGAAACAATGAAGTCACTGCTGAAAAAAAAGGTTGGGATGAGGTTCTTGGGACGGGTGCCCGTTTTCACACCGTGTGAGAGGATGCGAAGTGAAGAATATTCCTTCGAGCCGCGACGTCGACCAGCTACTTAAAAGGATCGAGAGATGTCAAGCCTGCTTGTTCCTCAAAGCGAAGCATGCCCTGGAGAGACTGGGAAGAAATTGAAATCCAAAATAAAATTACATACAGAAGACAAGCGGGCAGAGCGTGCAGGTTATGTGGACTGATTACATGGTGAAACTCGGTTGCTGAAGGCTCTCATGCTCTCTTACCTTGCCCGAGTCTCCTATCAAGGAGGAATGAATGAGCCTAATTCGAAGTCAGGTTTGAGCAATAGGGTAGGAGAATGAATTTTAATGCATACATCCTAAAACTCTCATTAAGAACCTATTTTTCATATCAGAGCTGAAGATTTCTCAGTTACGACAAGGATCGTCTAACACCGGACACATATGATTGGTTGGGAACTGAAGGATTCAATAGTAACACAGGGAAGCCAATCGTGGCTGTGTTAAACAAAGGATTCGTGATACCCTAAAAATTGCTGGCACTAACGCTTTTTAAAAACCATGATAGTCTTCTTGAAGTACTTGATACTGGCACTTTTACGCAGATTCTCCGTGGCAGAGGAGTCGAAGTCGAACGAACACAATTCCGACATCTTGGAAATGACATGTTTGTTGCTACGTTCGTTTATATGCGCATTCCCTCCTTGACCGGGAAGGGCCCAAGACACCACGGCTCCCTCACGGCAATGGCTACAGATGCTCCTGAGAAAAACTTCCTCTTTTTCCACAGGTAGGTGTTCGCCGACCTCCAGGCTAAGCACCCAGTCGTACATAGGAATACGATTTCCGACCTCGGCGGTGAAATCTACTTGTTGAACGAGTCCCTTGGATACTTCTGCCACGTTAGGCATCCCGTCGTAACCGAAGATGGAAGACACCTCCCCGTACTTCCGAAGTGCATCCACGTATCTCCCAATTCCGGCTCCAAAATCACCAACGGTTTTTCCCACAAAAAATTTTGAAAGAGCCTTTGCCAGGTCCTTGTCAAATTCGTATCCGCGTTTTTCGGCAAATTTAGGGCACCAAGCACCCGTGAAAGATATCTGCTTCTTGGGGTTCAGGTTGCAGTCCAGTATTGTGCACTCCTCTTCCTTGCTGGTCTGCCAGGACGTTCTTCCTCTGTATTCCATGAATAGGAGTAGAACCACGCTCGTGACGACACTGGAAATAACTATATCACCCAATCGACTCTGTCGCGTCATCTTGAAATGGTCTACTAGCACTTCTACAAACGCTGTGTCGGGAGCAATGCAATAATACGGAACGAGAAAGCGGTGTGTCGAGTGAGCGATAGCAACTCCATCCCATTTCACAGTAGGTAAATAGAGGGAGCAGCCTCTTCGTTATCTATGCGATAAAAATATTTTCGAAAATGACGAGGAGTTAGATAAGGGATCCACATTGCAAAGTTGCTTTTTGTTGTAAGGATGGGGCGACGAAAGTGCTTCTAGAGGGTATAAAGCAACATGCGTTTCACCATCTTGGACCTTCTTGGAACAAGCTGGCAGACAATTGACATTGAAAAACATAGCTCTTCTCAAATTTAAGTGTTCAGCCAGTTTGCATGAGGTGCTGATTCAATACGGTCTAGACCACACGAGCTCGTCCGAGCTGCCGCGAAAACTCCTGTTGTGCTACACCCTCTTACTGCAAAGCATCTTCATCACCCCGTACCTTTGTTGTTGCGTTAGTCTTGGCATGTCACGGATGTTTTACGAAGATGGGATGATATGCACAATGAAATCAGAGAATTATTTGACCGTGGTAATTTGAACTTTACATTTGGCATGAA